CAGCGGCCGGCCTGCACCTGCAACCGCAAACCCTGCAGCTGCCCCAAAGCGGACGTGAATTACGCGTTCCTGCACTCAACAGGTAACGGCGCTCCTGGGCGACGGCACCTTTTAAAAACTAACAAAAAAAAGCAGAGGTTTGGGTCGTGAAATGCCGCCGGGCCGGGGGCTGCGCGCCCCAGCCACCCGCCTGCACTGAGCAGTTTTTAAAAAACCGCCGGAAAAAAAGGGGAAAAAAAATAAAAATAAAAACGCGGGGCGCTCGAGCCTGCAGGTCGCTCTGTGTAAAGAACAGTGACAGCAAGGACCTTCTCGTCGCAGTCCCTGGGATGCGATTAAGGTTCGTGGGGAAGGAGGCAGAAAGAGGGCTCTCTCGTTGATTTATTTTAATTCAGGGTATTTTTGCTGTTCCTCTTTTCTGACCTTGCATATAGCCTCTCTGCTACTAAAGTTCCCCTCCCCGCTTAGAAAGGTGCTGCCGAGAAGTGCTCCCATTCGCATCAGCATCACAACCCGAGGAAAGCTCTGCCCTCCCGGCCCCACCGCGGGAGACCGGCTGCAACTGCGTTTCGCTTGCGCCGCTGCGTATCCAGCTGCTCCCGAGTTACCCCAAATTAGGGCTCTCCAGTACAGCTGTGCCTGAGGCATCGCACTTCAGTTTAAACAAAAGATGTCAGTGTAAGCACTGATAGACCGTGCAACATTGCTTCAGAAAAAGGTGTTAAATTATCAACAAGTTACTTGTAAAGCCTTGCACTGGACAGTCACAAGGAAGGTATTTTATTGCAAGGCAAATGATAATTTTGAGAGTGCTTCTTGAAGCATTTCAGTTTTTCCAGTCCTTATTTTTCCAGTGATTTTTTTCCTTTCTTTTTTGTTTACCTGCTCTCTCCCACTGTCTTAAAAATTGGTAAATATACTGTGGCAGAAAATTGGCATTTTAGATAAGAAATTAAAATCTGACTGCGTCTCTTGAAACATTCCTTAAAATAATATCTTAACTAAACAGTTTAATAAATAAAAAAGTTCTTTTTTTTGAACACAGGGAAAAGATTTCCCCAAAATAAATGGGAGAAGACTCTACCCCAAATCTGTATATAAAGTCATAAAATCAAGTTCACTTTTTGTTTCTCCTTTCCCAGATCTTCTGCCAGCATGCAATGGAGAAATGACAACCATGTCTTTCCTACAAGATGTTGTGGACATTTTACTTCAGTATGTGGCGAAAAGTTTTGATAGATCAACAAAAGTTATTGATTTCCATTACCCAAATGAGCTGCTCCAGGAATATAACTGGGAACTGGCAGATCAGCCACAAACCTTGGAAGAAATTTTACTGAACTGCAGAACAACTCTGAAGTATGCAATTAAAACAGGTAATAGCCGTGCTCATTTTCTACCCTGTATGGTCTCATCCGTTGATTAAAGGTGTCATTTCACTTTATCTTGAAGCAGTAAGGATTCAAGCAGCTCCTGTATTTTGTCGGTTTCAGACAATCCCTAGCAGAGACAGGGACCGTTTTCCTAAATGATAAAATACTCTAGCAACCCTGCCGCTGTAGCTGTCAGCGCAGCATCGTGCACCTTTCCCAATTTAAAATTAATTCTCCGGTGTAGCAGAGTTGCTGAATGTCTCCCTGAGCAGTGTTTTAACCACCTTTGCAACTTTCCTCCCTTCCTCTTCATCCGTTTTACACGTTATGGGCCAGGGATCCTACCTTGCTCCCTGCAGAGGGGAGCAGAGCAGGGAGGCAGCTCTGGGGGG